ATTATTATTATTATTATTATTATTATTATTATTATTATTATTATTATTATTATTATAGGTCGTAAAAGCTCCTACCCCTGTAATAATTAGAGGAAAAGCCTAAAATCGAAAGATTTTGAATCAAAATAAAATTATTTAGTGGTCAACTAGTGAGACTATCCCCACCAAAACTTCTCTGTGTCTTCACAGTTATCAATTACTACTACTGCCAGTTATCATCACATTACACATCATATCAAGGAATAAGTAATGACCAAAGCATTTTATTGAAAACAAACCATTGCTTTCTGCACGGCGGAAGGATTCGCATGACGTAATGGAGTTATGTTTGTCACAGGGGTAGTCAAATCAGTTGCAAAATTATCAGACATATTTGTTTGCATAATCGGGGCCACTGCGGCTGCTGGTCGAGGTGACTGGGCAGTAACGGAGGCCGGTAACGACGATAAGCTGATCTCTGTCGTACTTTCATCACTTATGTTGGACGTCGTCTGCGTTGAGTGCATTTCTTCAGTATCTGTAATTTGAATATTTATTTGAACGATTGCTGATGAATGGTGGTCTTTAAAATTTTCATAACAATTCATGCGAAGAGTTGGAGTTTGCTTATATTATCGATGTTTTTGTCACATAGCAGCCCAGTCGACAGCTATCAGGCTAGTGCTGATAACAAGTTAAAAAAAATACGTTGTATTATACCTGTAAAATTCTGCGGCGAGTCGCGATATGCAGCATCTCCTTGCATGATCATAAATGAACTTTCGGTCCGCTCGCTAATGACACCATCACTGGCTGGTACTGGCATTAGTGGTGCCGGTAATGAAACATCCAGTGGCGAACTCATCAGATCCTTCAATGAATACTATTTTGCGGACAAAATTTCCGAAAATTTGCTAATTTCTTTAAAATAGAAGATTCAAAAATCTATATTCTAAAAATCAAAAATCTATTTTAAGAATTCATGCTCATTAAAATAATTCAAATATCCTTATGTGGATCGCAGGTGAAGGGTCCCTTGTTTGGAAAACTGCACTGGAAGCAGTTTGAAGGCTATAACGGCGATCTACGCTACGCTCCCCATCACCTCTCAATTTCTCATCAGGCCCTGCATAATTCCTTACTATCCTCCCCCTCCCACTCACGTCACTTCGACCTTATTCACGTAAAAGCACTGCCACTTAACAATAAATACAATTACTTTATGACCACTATCAAAAAGTAGACTCTTACTTTATGACCCCTATTGATGAACGTGCTGCAATG